TATATATCAAAAACTAGTATCTGTGCACATAGCTTAGCTTCTCCTTATTGTTATTCCTTTATGTTCACTAACCGCGAAGGCTCTACTATCAACTAAACCCAAATACTGTACATGCTGATCTCAAACTGTTATATAGGGTGATGTATGCAAATTCAGGCTTCAGCTATGGACATTGTGATTGGCTAGATAAGCATATGCAAAAGCTTAGGAATCGTTCTTTCCGCTAAAATCTATTGCGGACGCAAGATGCCCAAGTGTGCTGAGCACAGCAAAGTAAATTTCAGCGGACTGATTTTGGCTTATGTGGATTACATTTGGCAAGTAATTATGAGGCCAAAATCAGTCAGCCGGACCGATTTTTGCCCCGGACCAAATTTTTCCTGACACCTAGGATAGCCAAGTGTAGAGTACAAAAAGCAACAAATGCATATGTAAGGAAGTTAATCCTCCTCCTAGAGCAATGCTGAAAATCTACCGTCCCAATGGAAAAAATTGCATGTGGACCAAGCTTGCTATCAATGTACAGTATCTCTAACGGCAACATCTTCGTCATCAACCACACCACAGTGCGGCAACACGAAATGTGCTGTACATACACTCATTGCTACTGACTGATTGAATGTGTGGTTTAATACACATAAAAGCATCTTGTAGCTTACATTTCCTGTAATATCTGATTTTACTACACACACGTACTACCTAGCCATGTTCTTTCTATTTGAGTTGGGACTATGTGTTCAATTAACTTAGAAGGCAAAGGAGGACAAGCACAAGTGCACACCCTCAAAAACTTTTTTTTTAGTTTAGGGCTTATGTTATATATGGCTGCACACATTTTGTTGAAACTGAATTTTCATTATGGCTTTATTTATTACAAACATATTCTTTCACCATCATTATACACTGAGGCCCTTATTTTAGAATATCTGGAGGCTTAGATCAAAGGAGCTATGGACACTTTTTAAGTGGAGAAGGGGTTGCAGGGTATTGTACCATAACCAAACCCAAAGTTATGTACCTTCATAAAACAACCAATACCACAAAATCCAACTTTATTAAAGTTACTCCACAAAACTTCACTACTGTATCATAAACTGATCTATGATAATATTACGAATGACATGTATACATCACAGGGCTAGATACAGTACCTTGATGTAGTCCACTAGATTCTGCATCTGTGACTGGTTGACTTTTTGTAGTAAAAATTGGTGGGTTATCGGTGCTTACAACAATAATGTCTTTTGAAATGTTACTATTAGAATCATCACTGGTGGGATTGATAACTTTTGTTGATGGTATACTTGTAGTGGCCTCGCCTGAATTAAATGCAATATGAAAGTAAACAGCATGATGTTAAATGATGGTGATAAATGTAAGCACAAAGAATATGGCAGAATCTTATTATGAAGGACTATGGATAAATGTGTCCTACTCTGGCAAAACCTGCAGTTTGTCGCAATTTCTAATTTCACCCGAAATGTTTGAGAATCAGAATTTCGAAAAATTTCAGGCTTGTGCAGTTAAAATATATTAAAGAACAATTCTGTCTAATCTAACTGTGAAATACAAATCCTAAAGTAACAAACCACTGATTTTGGAATATTTGGAAGCTGCTTTCACAAAACCTACATGGCTGATATCCATTAACTTTGCTAATACAGTACTAAACCAATTTTCATCAACTGTTTTAATAAAAAAAATCATGCAGAATCAATTAGAAAATAACAAAAACTCATTTTTGAATTTTTTCCGACAAACGGTGGGTTTTGCCAGAGCTGGTCACAAATGCCTAATATTGTAAACATGAAGACAATGGCTGATTTGTTTAGGATTAAAAGGAATAGCAAAATATTGCTGCTGGAATGAAAAATAATGTATGTACAGTAGAACCTCGATTTTACGTACGGTACGGGACCAGAGGGCGTACGTAAATCAGGGGATTCGTAAAATAGAGGTTGGGTTAAAATTGTGGTAACCTTTGACCTAATACGTACGTAACGCTCAATAAACGTATGTACGAACGAATGATGATACCAAGGCTAGACCTAGCCTCTAGGCCTACGAATAAAACCATGTGTTTAGTGTTTTTATTCATCACTTTACGATGTCATAATAAAGTGTTCAAATAAAACCATGTGTCTAGTGTATTAATTCATCACTTT